ATCACAAGAACGGCTTATGATAGGTAGGGGCTCATGATACGTGGCAATTCCAACTACTATAATGATCGCATTGCCCAGCGCTATTTTGGTTCATACGAGCGCCAAGAGCCCCTATCATGATAAGATGAGCACAGTGCGATCAGGTTGTACTATATACCTAACCCAACCCAAGAGTTGATTGGCGTCAAACGGAAAGTAAGTCTATGTTGACTTTGGCGGCACGCCTCAAGGTCAAATGCGCGAACTTTCAGGTGTAGGCCACGCACGACGCAAAACGGAGATGTAAGACTGTACGTTTGAGATGGCATCATCTCATGGGGGAAACGAGCCCTGCCGTTAACCATGGAAAAATATATAAATACCTTAAGTCTAAGGCTATAGTTATACTAACTATACTAAAGGTCTTAATAATAATATAATAGCTATTTCTTTTTTTTAAGAGCTTTTATAATTATTTACTATTTATAGCTATTTTCTCAAGACTTATACTATTAAATACTAGCACCCTTACTAAGCCTAAGCTCTTTAAACTAATTATACTAAAAGGTATATTACTTAAATTACCTTTAGGCTTTATATTTATTTTACTTTATAATACTTAACTTATTAGCCTTAATAAAAGTATTTACTTAATTAAAAAGGGCGTTAACTATTTCTTTTAGGTTACTAAGGATTAGTAGGTTTAGGATCTTACTTATATAAGGAGAAAGTTATTAGTTACTTTAGGTATAATATAAGGCTATAGTTTAGAAAGACGCTTTATATTAAAAGGAGGATTATTATTAAGGTAAATATAGTAATAAATTAACTTAAGGACCTTATTCTACTTATTATTAATAAATAAAGTCTTATTATTAAAGAAGTATAGTAGTTAGCTATTAATTAGTCTTAATAACCTAATAAATAAGTTAAAAAGTACTATTAAACTACTATATAGTAGGATATAAAAGTTATTAAGACTATTTATTTAGGAGAGAGATATTAGGCTCTAAAGAGAGGTATAAAAAAGTAGTCTACTAGGTTTTTATTATTCTAAAAGGGCATAGTATATAAAGTAAAGTATAGGCTTTAAACTAAGGTAATATAATTTATAGTATAAAAGGGGTTATATATCTTATAAGGTGTTAGCTAGAAGCTTAGTAATAAGGTTATACTGCTCTTAAGGATTACTAACCTTATAGGATTAGCTAATATTAAGATAGCTATATTCTAATAAGGGAGATAATAAGGGGTTACTAAATAATAGATATTACTTATAATTAGATAAAGGCTGCTCTTTAAGGATATAACCTATATTAGTAAGGTAAGTAGGTTAGGTTAACTACCTTAGTATATAATTTAAAGCTATAATAAGTATATAGTATAAACAATATAAAGATTATATTAATTAGATAGTAAAAAGAATAAGTTACCTCTAGTAGGTTTAGTAGAATTAGGTTATACTAATAATAAAATTTTAGACTAATTAGAGGTATATATAGTGGCGACTATACAAGGGTTACGCCTATATATTAATTTATAGTGCTTATATATTAATTCCTATATAATATAATAATTAGTTATTTTTAGTAAGCTTATTATTATATTAGTATTTAAGTAATTAATAGTATTACTATTTATAGTATATTTATTACTTTATAAGTAAATCTTTTCTAACTAGGATAATATTTTACTTAAAGTCTAAGTAAGAAGTATTATACCTAGTAGTACCTCTAATATAATAAGTAGTATAATAAGTATAACCTTAATTAGGTAGTTTTCTTATTAATAGTTAGATTACTTACTAAATTATTTAACATTTTTACCTCCTTTAATTTATAAAGACTTCTAGTTTAGTTTACTATATCTTATAAGTATATTATTTCTATCTTACTATTTTACTTATTATCTTTAAACTAAGGTAGCCCTTAGTTAAACACTACTTATATCTAGATTCTTCTAGCTATATAAACTATAAACTTTTTTACTTACTTATTTTATATCTTTATTACTTTTATAATATTAATACTATAAAGTTAGTATGTAGTATATACTTTTTAATTTATTTTAGAAATCTCTATTTTTAAAAGAGGAGACTATTAAAAGCGTATAGTAGCGTACTTAAAGACTTTAGTTATAATAGTAATACATAAATAAACATACTAACACCTTATAATATAAAGTAACTTAAGTACCTAGCCTAACTATATTAGGTTTTTAAGATCTAATTAGGCTTTTAATACTAATTAAAATTATATAACTTAATTAGATAAGGTAGTTAGCTCTCTATTACCTACGTTATTATTTATTAGCTAAATTAAATAAAGAATAAGGCACTAGAATAAACATTTTTAAGATAAACAAAGGATTAAAGGAGAAAGTAGAATTATTCTCTATTTAATATAGCTAATTAGAAGGTTCTTATACTTCTTAATACTAATTATAATTTTCTTTTTTTCTATAACTACTAAATAAGTAAAATCCTTATCCTTACTTTAATACTTAGTAGTATATATAATAAGTACTACTAAATACTAGTTAGACTACTACTATAATAAATATAAATACTATTATATAGAAAAAGTATAAATAAAGTAAATATATATTAAGGGGGCTAGGACCTACTTAAATTAGCTAAAAGACTTAAGACACTAACTATATATAAGGTATAAGTACCTAGAAGATAAATAAAAACCTTATACATTATAATAATAAGAAAGATATTATTATATTCTTCTATAAGTCTTACTAAATAAATAGCCTACTTAAGTTATAGTTACTAATAAAGTATAAGTAAACTTAGTATTACTTAAATAAGGAAATAAGTAATTAATTACTTAGATCTATAAGAAATAACTATACCCCTTATAGATAGTTAAAAAAGAATAAGTTTAGTATAGCAAAGGAATTATTAATAAGAAGATAGTATACCTCTTAATAAGTATTATAGGCTATAACTAATAACTTAACTTTAATATTACTAATATAAGAGGATTTAATATAGTATCTAGAATTCCTTAGTTAAGGAAATATAACCTAGATATTAGCTAGAAGTCTAGCTAACTTTAGTAAAAGAATTTAGCTATAAAGTAGCGTTATATATAATAACCCTTAAGTAAATTAGGAAAATAACTAAAGTATATAGCGGTTATCTAGAAGATTAAACTTATATAAAAAGAGTAATTTATATTTATAAATAATAAATAATAAGAGAAAAAAAGACTTTAAGTAATTCTTAAGATTAATTAAAAATATAATAAACTATTTACTAAAGAACTAGAAATAAAATTACTAAGGTATATTTTATAGAACTATAGGATTAAGCTATTACTAAGGATATAACAGCGCTTTGAACCGGGGCCCTGATGCCGGTACACGGAGGAGCGGTACAGGATAGCGAGTTAAGCCTTATAAGTAGTGTATTCTAAAAAAAATATAAGTCTCTATATAAAATACACTTTTAACTCTCTGTATAGAGATAAAGAAGTAATTATATAATAAAGTAATTACTAGTAATTATAAAAGTAAGCACTTATTAGTATTTACTAAGCGCTTACCTTAAGTAAGAATAGTAATTACTTATAATTATTAGTTAATAAAGACTGTTTAAGGAACAGCTAGGACTTATATATAGGGTAGACTTAGGCGCGCCTAAGGACAGACTTCTATAGCTCTTTAGTAATTAACTTATAATATATTCTTTAAATACCTTTTAGTATCTAACCTTAGTAATCTAATTAATAAAAGCTATATAAGCTACCTAACTATATTATCTATCTAGCTTATTACTAAACGCTTAATAAGACTAAAAAGAATAATAAATATAATTAACTAAGTATTAAACTCTACTTACTATTAGTAGAAACCCTACTGTCTGGAAACTAGCTGTAATAGTACTCTAAAGCAGAGGTTATTAAGGTAATAGAGAATATCTCTATATACCTCTTCTAGTTATAGGTCCTATCGCACTAAAAGGATAACCTAATATATAAGTTAGATTAACTATAACTATAGATCTTAATAATAAAAACACTATAGTTTTTAGTCTATAATAATCTTCCTCTACCCTTCTTTTTTGCTAGCTAATACTTAAGGACAAAGACCTAATTACGCTAACAGATAATAGGAAGATTATTAAGGGTAGGATATAGTAGAAGGGTAACTAAAGATATATTCCTTACTTAGGTATATATAGTGTCTTAAAATTATAGAAGGGTAAGGGTATTTATTATTAGTAAAGTTATTATAAATAGCTTTAAGAAAAGGAAATAAACAGAGAGGGAGAGATAAAGAGGGAGTAAATAAAAGGTCTAATAGGGGGTAGGGTAAGTGTAAGGGGTTATAACTTATAGTAGAGCATCTACTATATATCTATATAAACACTAGGAATAACATCAATAGCAGGGATATAGTGTTAGTATTTAGCTTTAGAATAGATATACAGCAGAGGAATATATAGATAATCTGACTCCATATAAGTTAATTAACCAACCTAACTTTGGCCTTGAGGTTGGTTGGTTAAAGTGAAGCTATTTGTAAAGTTGACTGGTTAGTTAACGAAGTTGGTTGATGGGATTGATCTTAGTGAAGCGCTGTATAGTAGTAGTAATAGTAGTAATAATAGTGGTTTAGATATTAGGGTTAGGGTTAGATATAGGGTAGGGGAGTTAGGGCTAATGTATTATATATTTTAGTGGTTCTTAATATATTAATATTTCTATATACTAAGGGGCTGTTCTATTTATATCTTAGTAGAACAAAAACTAAGCTGTTTTTTCTATACTCTTTCTTAGCTAAAACGTACCCTACAACAAGACATTATACATATTGTTAAAGTCTTTCTGCTACAGAAAACGCCATACGCATATCCTCCTTCTTTTGGGGCGACTTTAGTGGCTTCTGTAGCTCTTTCGGTGCATTAGTAAGTGAGAATAATTTAGGTGGATGGGCGCGGACTTCGGTTGGCGTAACGGTCTTAGTAACGGTGCCTTTGAACCAAAAAACCGACCCGCCCTTGCTTAGTCCAAGGGGCTTCAGAGACGATCGAGAAATAACAAGCCCTCCTTCTTCTAGAGCCTCGCGCAAAACGCAGTCACCCATGTCTTTATCCTTCTCTATATCATAGCCGCCACGAGGCAAAATGTAACCCACAGTCTCGAAGTTATTGTTGGCGGGGATCATCCAGATACCGGTGCTTCCATCAAAGGCAACAACGCCGCAGCGGATGCGCTCATGTCCTAGATAGACTGCACAGGTAGCTATTAGTTACGTACCCTGGCGAGGCGTTTTACTTTTGCATCTTACCAGAACCAGCTTTATCACCAGTCCCTTTAACATAATGTTCAGGCAAAGACCAAGGGTTGATGTCTTTGAAATTCGTCCAGTCCTTATACTCTCTAGGAGCCAAGACGTCTAAAGGTTGAGCTCCTACGAGCACGCGACATAATCCAACTAGGAAGAGAATAGCATAAGTTGTAGAATACATCTTAAAGTAAGGGAGATGCCTAGACAGCAAGCTGAGGATGTCAGAAGATTGTAGACAGAAGTTAAGGTGGCGGTAGTTTTGGAATATATAATTATAACTCTATGCAGCTCTATAAAGAAGGGGGAAACTCCATACTTAACTAGTAGTGGTCACTGGCTACCGTGGCTATAGACGATTAGAATTTAGAAGTCTACCCTTTAAATTAACTTAGTAAGACAAATTGCCGGTAATACTGAAAGAGGTAAAGTATATTAAAGTGGGCAATACGGGTAATAAACACCCTAGCCACATCCAGTAGGCGAAGTCCACTACTACAGCCACACAGCGGATCTGTAGTAATATAGTAAACCCACACAGGCAATTTAGCCGCTACCTGATGGGTAGACATTGATTTGGTGGTACAACTTGTACTGCAAAACCAAGGCAGGGGTACTTGCTAGCTGTCTATTAGTGAGATTTATAGAGAAACAGCAGTACTACTAAAGTGCGCCCGTGCGGGCCGTGCGGGAACAGAAATTAACTGAAATACGTTAGTCATTTCCATGACAGATTTCCCTACCTAAATAAGGGAATCCTATTAGATTCACAAAAGTTATACAGGGTAGACCCCCTTGCCTGTTCTAGATAGATACCTTCTGTAACTATACGCACAGAGGAGCCTGTCAATACATAGTATCTATACTCAGGGGGCTTAGTCAGGATTCTTATGCGCTAAATCCCCCCTTCTCACGGAGGGGGCGAAAAAAGGGGGGTCGCACCGCAAAAAGGGGGGTCGTACCCAGTCCTTATCCTATTGTAGTTTTTATTATATTCTTACCAAAATCATTAAATATTTAGACAAGTTATTAATAGATATTAGTACTAACTAAACTACTTACCTTACTTTAACCTATCTATTATACTCTACTAAAGTAATAAGAATATAACTACTACTAAGAAGGCTACTAAAGTGCTTTTTACTACCTAATAACAGGCTTATACTTATAACTATACTTATTAAATACAGCGGAATTACACGTAAATTAGCTAGTAAATGCACGTGTGCCCTATAGCAAATTGTTAGGGAATAGGCAGTAAATTAGCCCTACGTTTAGGGGTGACTTTACTAATAATATTGCTAGGATTAGCTAGGGATTTCCTAACTAAGAAACAGGGGTTTTTCCCTATTTCTATAGTAATTTACTATAGATATATAACAGAAAATTTCCAGGGGATTTTCGACCAGGGTGCCGATTCGGTCACGGATCCTTATGGCGTACTCGGGAAGCGCGCAGATACATCCCTGAATTTAGCGTGCAGACTAAGGGAAGGCGAGGCCGACGGGATTAGTAAACCCGACGTCTTGATATACGCTGTAAAGGGGGGCTTATGTGGTCATTCGCTGGGGCCCTTTAGGATACAATACAGTACCTGATAACCGCGAAAGCGGACTGGGCTACAGAAC